AAGAAATCAATCAAACAAAAAAGGGAAGTGAAAAGAAAGAAGAGAAATATAACAAATGCCGGTTATAATTTACATCGAAACGTTAAAGATACGGGGATGCTCAGCATTTAAATTTAAATTTTGACATATATCTAACCTCTCTAAATACTAAACTTAGCCAACCACCTTGAGCTTCTTATCACTTTTATTTGTATTGTTATTGTTTTTTATTGTCCTACATTAAATTAGAACAGGGGTCGTCAAATGAGGTCCGAGCGACCCTCTAGGGATCTATGGATCGAGTGGGGGTCAGTGTGCGAACTTGCACAACAATACCAGACCCAGCTAATTTATCTCTGTTAAAATCGGTCATTGTTTTCTTTTTGAGATGGTTTAATATTAACTATTGCATTTTTTTTGTATCCAAGGCATTTTGTATGGTGAATATTGACTGTTTGGTAGCATATTTAACCGTTACTCTAATAATATCTTTTAAAGAAGTATCAAACCCAACAAAAATGATTCCGTTCTGATATTGCTATATTTTTTGTATGAACCGCATGCTCTTTTCATACATCTCCAAACATAACCATTTTTATTCCTTTTATAGGGCACTAATTTCAGTGCTTTGACAATTTACTCCCGGTTTAAACCATCTTTGCATACAATACCTTATTAATTGGATATTAGTAGCAGTTATGCATTTCAGTTCGATACCATCGGCTGTATTTAGGCTTGGTGTACTTAATATATTATTTGCTTGATTCAATGGAGTTGTTTAATATATTTTCTTCAGTATATTTTTCGGGGAAAATTTTGAACCTGATGACGCTAAGAAAAAAAATTGAAACCTGATCCAAATTTCTTAACTTTCATACATTTTAGTTAACATTTCAATTGCTAACATCAGTGCGAGTTTTAAGAAAAAGGGGGTCTCTGGTTGAAAAAGTTGACTCCTGAATTAGAAGATTTGGGTGGAAAGTTCCTACAATGGGCGTAAATTTACCGTAGATGATTCTGAAATTAGTTCACTTTTGATATATTTCGGCTTAATAAATCTCCTGTTTTAAGCAGAGCTGCATTCTACAAATCGAAATTATGGTCAGATTTATTACAATGAACGAATAATGCATGATCTTTTGTAAAAAGATGCTTTTTTTATGTCCGTATGATCATTCATTTAAATTTATGCTCCTATATTTTTGTTACCGTTGAAATGCTAAAGAATGACACATGGAATACATTGATTAAATATTTAAAAATTTACATAAAATATTTTATGGATAAAAAGATGAAAATAAATTTGATAAAAAAAATGAATTTTCTCTTTAAACGTTTTGGAATAGTTTTTGATGTATATACTCAAAATGCATTTCAGAGTCCGAAACACATCCTATTTATATGTTTTCCTTTTAAATATGGAGAAATATTTTTTTAACGGATATTAAGTTTACCATTCGTCCATGCTTAGAATATTGCTACCACATACGGTCCGGTAACCCTGCTATTTACCTTGATAAAATTCAAAGAAGAATTTGCAATATTATTGGTCCTGATCTGGCTTCTCGGCTCCAGCCACTTTCCAACCGCCGTAAGGTTGCTTCTCTGTGTCTTTTCTATAAATACTTTCATGGTAATTGTTCGGTGAGCTCTTCACAATGATACCTAGACTTTATGAATTTAAGCGCAGTACTAGGTTGGCGGAAAGGTCTCATTCATTGTCATTTGAGCTGGCTAGATGTAACCGTAAGTTCTATGCCAACAGTTTCTTTTCTCACACTTCTCGCTTGTGGAACTTCCTTCTAACTCCATGCTTTCTAGCCAATTTTAATCTGAAAAAATTAAATGCAATGTCAATCGCTATCTACTATTAAATACAATGTCAATCGCTATCTACTGTCCTCCTGATTACTGTTTCCTCTTTCCGCTCATTATTAATGTTTCTGTTTCTAATTCTTCCACACCCTGTAACCCCCTGGGTCTTAGTGGATTTACTGCTTTGAATAGGGTGAGACGGAGCAAAAAATACTCATTAATGCCATTGGAAAACATATGAATATATCATCCAACAGCTATGGGTTAAATAACACCACAGGCTGGGCGCTTTTTGTTTTGGGTGACAGGCAGTCAAGAGATAGAAAAACTTTGAATGAAAACCTCTCTTGCCTTGGGTATTCTTTGAAAAAAAAAAAAAAAAAAAAAAAAAAAAAAAAAAGAAGGTTAAGGAGTACACAAAATGGAGCTCCGAAGACGGGTGGATCGTATACTGCTTCATATTCCGTAAAGGAGTACACAAAATGGAGCTCCGAAGACGGGTGGATCGTATACTGCTTCATATTCCGTAAAGGAGTACACAAAATGGCGCTCCGAAGACGGGTGGATCGTATACTGCTTCATATTCCGTAAAGGACTACACAAAATGGAGCTCCGAAGACGGGTGGATCGTATACAGCTTCATATTCCGTAATTCATTCAGCTTTTCCGGTACCAAACCCTTTGGACTCTACTGGTAAAGTCGAGAGGGAAATGTTGCCGTATAGGCAAACCAAAATCTCCCTAACTCCCGTTCAGGCCTGTAGCACAGAGCGCAACACTATCGTCTTCAGAAATGCCAAATAAAATTTTAAAAAAAGTTGAATGAGCTTACAATTTAGGTGACATCAGACATCAATTATTTAAATTTACACGCTTAACGACTCTTCAAATTTAACGTTTCGGCATTTGGTGTATTCCTCTTCATCATTTTTCTCCATCTTTATGTTATTTTTTCTCCATTTTACTTCCATCTATAAAACCGTTATTATCTCCGAGTAATTTCCTTCTCGGAACGAAACGTGTCACTACACAGTTTTACATTTATTATTGAGTTTCTCATTATAAACCGATAATCTACATTGGTTATACGACAACAACTATTTCCTGAAGAATGACAAACCACTTAAGTGATATCAGTGCCATAAAAAAGCACCTTGACACTCTCAAATGCTTGTTCCCATTAGAAAAAAATCTGACTGATAACATCATCATCTCAATAAATAAACGATAAATTCTGTCTGTGCGTACGTGTATCTAAAAACCCTTTAACTCGGGCCACACTTTCTCTCCATAGACATAATCGTTTTGTGAATCAGGATGATCGCAGGATTGAAAATCTGCCTTTCATTTGGTTCTCGAACATCCAGCATTGGGATTTGTGTCCGTATGAGACGGGAACAGTTAAAAATTCAAATTTTAAAATAGTTGAAAAAAAAAAATAGTGATTTTAAATCTTTTAATTTATATTGAGTTTAAAGTAGCACAAAAACTTTGTGAATTTATTTGCTTTGCTTTAAATTCTGTTTAAAATATCTCCCAAATCTTGTGAATTGAGGAAATCAATTTTATTTCTTCAAATCGCCAGGGAGTCGCCAGTTAAAATGTGAAGTTTCATGACGTGAAGTTTTGAAGTTCTGCAGAGTTTCTGATTTGAAGAACTCAGTTTTCGGCCTGAATTGGAATTTCGACTCAAATCGGATTTCTTAGCCTGAAACAGTTAAAGTGTAATTTTGAACGTCCATGGAGTAAAATGAGGAATTTAAAGCTGTTTTTTCAAAATTATCCTTGCTGTTTTCTAAGCAGGATCCGGGGTCCCTTTAGTTTTGCTCAACTAGTCCTGCTTTTAAGCTAGTTCTAAATAAATCTAATTGTCGAGTGAAAATTATCGAAGCTCTTTATATAAAACAATTCAAACAAAGCATTCACTTAAATTTATTTACCAAAAGAACTAAATGTGTTGGCGGTCTTTTAAAAATACACCCCAGCACAGAATGGCGGTTGTATTCACTCGCGCAGCCTAGAATGACTACCAAAGGGTGGTTCGAAAGTCTTGTCAATCCTACATAATATAATTTTTATTTCAGATGGCTGACACGAAAATGACACACAGATCTTCTCGATATGCGACAACGTCAATGAAAGTGAATAAACTGAATCCAGTACATGTGCTTTTGTATTACTGTATTACTTGCTGTTCTATTGTTCACATTGCTTTTTGGTCGGGGTAACAAGACTTTCTGACCACTCTGAACTTCGACAATACAACTTAGAACAAAAACATTGAAAAACATTAACAGCGAACCCCATGAAAATGACTAATGAATTGATCGAAAACGCTTGGGACAACAATATTTCCGGATAGCTTTTCACACCCTTAGCCTCTCCAAAAAGTAAACTGTAAGATCATTAGATAAAATAAAAATGAAACATTATTTGTCTATATTTTATGTACCCAATTTACATTATTCGGGCTATTGTCCTCATCTTTGTTGCCATATTTATCACAACGTTTCGGCCATTGTACGCTCCGGCCTTCTTCAGGTGGTTGGAATGTCGAACTGAACTCTTTATTTCGCTCACTGGGGTAGACTGTTCTAGTACCACGTGCCATGTCTAATGGATGTCTGTTATCAGTTATCTCCTGTTAATTCCCCTCTCCAAGTTCTCCACTGCGTTAACCAGGTATTGAACCCACGCTCTCTGGGTCCTGCAACTGGATCTAACTAACGTCTTTATCCATTGTGCCATGTTTTCTTGAAACATGTATAAAGAAAGTTTGCTACTTAAATATTCAATATTGCTGATAATTGCATATGCATATTTATTAATCTTTCTTTATAGGTGTGTGCATGTGTGTGAGAGGGTGTGTTCAGGCACATGTTACATACTTAACACAAGAATGACAATAAAAGCCAGAAATTATATTGAAATTTGTAAGTATTTAGTGTCAGTTGTATCTCCGTTCCGATTTTTTCTACTTTTGCTTTTTAAAAATTTTATTTGTCCCCGATATGCTTTGGCGGGGAAGGACTGAAATAAAATAATAATTCTATACAACCAAGCCACTATCGACTGCCATCATTACTAAAACAAGCCTGAACGATACCATCAAGCTTTGTCGATGTCGCCTTCAGCGTCACCGTCATGAGGGATCTTCTCTCTTCGATATTGCAAGATATATTATACTAATAATAACCAATTCCTACTTAGAAACGGACAGAAAGAAAAAAGAGACAAATAGAAAAGAAAAGAAAAAAAAAGAGACAAGTAGAAACGGAATAGGAGGCAAAAAAAAAAAGCAAGTAGGAACGGTATAGAAAGAAAAAAAAAGAGAGAGGTGAAAAGGAATAGGAGGAAAAACGAGACAAGGGGTAACGGAATAGGACGTAAGAGACAATGAGAAAGGGAAAAGAAAGAAAAAAAGAGACGAGAAGAAAGGGAAAAGAAAGAACAAAGAGACAAGTAGAAACGGAATAGGAGGAAAAAGAGACGAGTGGAAACGAAATTGGAGGAAAAAGAGACAAGTATAAACTTTTATAGCAAGAAAAAAAGAGACAAGTAGAAACGGAATAGCAAGAAAAAGAGACACGTAGAAATAGAATAGCAGGAAAAAAAGAGACAAGTAGAAACGGAATAGGAGGAAAATGAGCCGAGTATAAATGGAATAGAGGAAACAGAAAGAAATAGCAACGGAATAGTAAAAAAAAAAGAGTCAAGTAGAAATAAAATAGGAGGAAAAAGGGACAAGTAGAAGCGGAATAGCAAGAAAAAAGTGTTAAGTAGAAACGCAATAGTTGGAAAAAAGAGACAAGTACAAGCGGAATAGGAGGAAAAAGGAACAAGTAGAAACGGAATAGCAGGAAAAAAAGGACAAGTACAAGCGGAATAGGAGGAAAAAAAGGAACAAGTAGAAACGGAATAGAGTGAAAAAAAAAGTATAAACGAAATATAAAGAAAAAGAGACACGTAGAAATGGAATAGGGGAAAAAAAGAGACAAGTTGAAACGAAATAAGAAGAAAAATATAGAAGCAGAAACGGAATAGGAGAAAAAAAGAGACAAATTAAAAGGGAATAGGAAGAAAAAAGATAGAAGTAGAAACTGAATGTGAGGAAAAAGAGATAAGAAGAAACGGAATAGCAGGAAAAAGAGACAAGTAGAAACGGAATATTAAGAAAAAGAGACGAGTAGAAACGGAATAGAGGGAAAAAAGAGACAAATACCTATGGAATAGCAGCAAAAAAGAAGCAAGTATCGGAGGAAAAAGAGACACGTAGAAACGTAATAGGGGGAAAAAGAGACACGTAGAAACGGAATAAGGGGAAAAAGAGACACGTAGAAACGGAATAGGGGGAAAAAAGACACGTAGAAACGGAATAGGGGGAAAAAGAGACACGTAGAAACGGAATAAAAGGAAAAGACAAGTTGAAACGAAATAAGAAGAAAAAGAAAAAGATAGAAGCAGAAACGGAATAGGCGGAAAAAGTTGACGAGTTGAAAGGGAATAGAATGAAAAAAGCGACAGGTAGGAACGGAATAGGTTGAAAAGAGAAAATTAGAAATGCAATGGAAAGATAAAGAGACACACAGAAATGCAATAAAGCAAGAAAGAGAGAAGTGGAAAGAGATAAATAGAAACGAAATACAAGGAAAAAGAAACATTAGGAACGGAATAGAAGAAAAATTAGAAAATTGTAAAAAAAAAAAAATGAAGAAAAGAATTGTCGCGGTAGATCCCATAGAAATACGTTTAAGTCCTAAATTCTAGAGTGAACCCTCTCCCCTATTCGTTTCTGCTTGACTTTCACAGACGACAAATAAGTAATTTCCCACATGTGTTCTCGTTGGAAGGGCGAGTTGAAACGCAAGAAAGAGGAGGAGTGAAGAAGAGGAGGAAGAAGAAATTAGTGATGGCAGAAAGGAAGAGCAAGGAAGATGAAGAGAAAGAGAACGAGAAGGACAAACACGCGCACGCGCACACACACACAGACACACAGACACACACACAGACACACACAGATGGATCAAGGAGGAAAACGAGAAAGTAAGAAAAGAGGAGGGTAAATCTGAATTGAAAGTGAGTAATAGAAACAATGATAGGAACATTTAAAAAAGCCAATAGACAAAAGAAGAAATACGAGAAAAGGAACATAAATATATGGATAAAGAGAGAAGGAGACAAATTAGCGTGAGATAAAGAGTGTGAGTGAATGATAGAACGAGAGATAGAGAGAGAGAGAGAGAGAGAGAGAGAGAGAGAGAGAGAGTCAATGGGTAGGGGTATGTAAAAAGACAAATCGTCGAAAGAAGAGAGAAATATAGGAATAGAGAGTGAGAGAGAGGAAGGTGTAAGGTGGTGTGGGATAATGAGAAATTTAGTGAAATTGATAGAAAGAGACAGAAGGAGAGAAGGTACGGGAGATAACGTAGAGAGGAAGTTAGAATGAAGAACAGGAAGAGGCTATGTACTGCACTTAGCTGTTCTCCTTTTAAATCAACGAACGAGAATTTTCTGATGTCCCATCAATTCTTAAACGTCATTCAATAAACTTTTCTTTCTTTCTTTCTTTCTTTTTCTTTTTCTTTTCTTTTTTCTTTCTTTTGCCTTATTTTTCTTCTTCTTTTTTCCCTCTTCTTTAAATTCTTGTTTTTTTTCTTTCTTTCTTTCCGTTTTTTGTTTTCTATTTCATTATTATCTTTTTTTTAA